GCACTAGAAAATGTGTCTCATTATTTGCGCCAGAGATCGATGTGATGGTGATATGTACTATACGGATTTACCCACATGTGTCTTTAGTTCAACTTTAACTTTGATTTTCTCGGTCAAATCGCATTGGCTCCCAATCAAACTTTCAGAGTTTAAAGTACTAGCCATGCAGGTCACTAATATTTGTGTCGGAAATCTGTGCAATCCCAGGTTTGTCCGGAAGATTGGCTCAAAGACGATTCTAAAACACTAATTAGTGTCGAGTTTTTGTTTGATTAACATGGAGATATCTAACCTGGAGGAGCGCCGAAATCACCGTTTTTCAATAACTAATTTTAAACAATCAAGACATGCTGAAATTTTTTCCGGTAGATAAGTTGGTCAGAATGGTTCTCTTTTATTCAATTGGAAGCAATCTTCTGTATTACTATTGTACTTGCATATTTATTTATGTGAAATTAATCGAACAACTCGATCTGTTGTTGTTTTTCTTTTGTTATTTGTATTTGCTGTGATCTATTATCTTTTCTTGCTTTCTTCTAATTTTTGTTTGCTTTTTTTGTTGATTTTCTTTTTGTTGACTTAACCCAAAGACAGTATCTCATTTGAACCAAAGTTATATTACAGACAAAAAGATTTTTTCACTATTTATATATGGATATTTCTTGTTGTTTCCATTTTCTGCTTTTTGTTTTTGTGAAAAAAAATGATTATTTCATTTGAAATATGTTCTTTCTTGAGAACAATGTGAATGTGATTCGATTCGCTTTTTAAATCAGTATGTTCCAAGGGTATTTCACTCTCTTTTTTCATATCCTTGGCAAAGATAGAAGTAAAGACCCGATCGAGCTCAAATTTCTACCATAGGTACTTCAAACTCTATACTGATCCCAGATTCTAAATTTTTTTCCCAAAATATGCCAATCGAAGCGCCAATCCCAAAATGTATAATAGAATAACATTGTCCTCAATTCAAAATTTAAGTTTTGCCCACATTATGTCAGAAAGACCGTATCTCAAACAGAGAACTTATCGCTAAAATGTTTTCTTAATCAAGCGCTTCCTTCTTTAGTAGGTCGTCTATGCATCTGACGATTAGCTAAAAAATTGAGCCAGTTGATGATGCAATAAAGTCACAGAAATCAACCATATCGTATATGGTTTCCATGTACTGCCCTCTGTATACGACATTTTTGGATTCTGAGCGCATTACCTAACGACCTACTAATTGTAGAAGCAGAAGCATTTTCAGAAGCTCATCTCGAATCTTGAAGGGTTTAAAATTTCAAAAAATTCCTTCAAGTTCAAAAGAATTCAAATTTTTGCCTTCTTTGTTCTTCCAGCCTTTGTGTATCCCGTACCTTAATATGTTATGTAAAACATCTAGAGATCTTGAAAGTAATTCGATCGAATTCTGCTATATTTGTTACCTATGAAACTCTGTTTTCATTGATTTTGAATTAAAACCGAGAACATTACTAAAAAATGACTTGTCCCTTTTTGGACAAAACTACCTAAATTTCAGTAAAAATGAAATATCTCGGCAACGAAGCAAAATTTTACAAAAAGCAAGCTGTACTTTTAACGCCGAACTTAGTCATCTTCAAAGAATGACGCATGCCACACACTATATTAAGGAAAGAAGTTTGAACGTAGCAAGTATTAAGCTATTCATCATGGTCAAAAGAAAAAGAAAACATAAGAAACTATATAGAATAAGATCTTTTAATAAGAGTAAGATCTTTTCTCTACAAATGGGCTGTTTGACAGACTAGTATATCTTCTATATATTGAGTGATCGGGTTATTTTTGCACAATAAAGTAAATGTAGTAAAAAATGATAGTGAGCAGAAAACAATATTTACACAAATAATTTTTCGTTCACCTCAATGGCATAATCACAACATTATGGAACCAATACACCTCCCCAGAATAGAAGAAAAGAAATATCGTTTTTACAAAAATTTGGTATTTGTGAGAGAGGAGCCTTAAATTTTATTGAGGCTATGCACTCCACATCTAATAGTCATGATACCAGTTGTTCTGTTGACCGAGTCAATCTTTCTTTATGACTCTAATAAAATTTAATCGAGATAGCCTTGTATTTCTCTTCAAGACTCGATAAAATGCTTGAATACAGTATTTACGCTTCCTCTATGGCAATAAACCGTTATTATCAATAATGACAACTCAATAAGCGATAAACATTATGCGAAAGATTGAAAAAGCGACTTTTTTAGCGCTTGAAGTTTCAAAGTGACGTACATAGGTCGATTAAGAAATTATTTTACGTTAAAAAAAAGCTCCGGAACTTGAAAGATGTCTTTAGCTTTGAACATCGTGGAAAAGCTCAACTTTTACGGGAAGAATGAGTTTCAACCTTTTCTATGCTTGAACGTTTAATTAAGAATTTCAATCCGTCATCCATTGATTATTCTTCACAATAGTGATCTTGTCAAAAGAAGAGAATCGATGCCGACAAGCAACTAGAACGTAATTAATAGAAATATGGTCACAAGCTTTTGCACCAGATTATTCAAAATCAAAATCACTATAATTACGCTACATTTAGTTTTGGATTTTATTTGTGATCATTAAAGTTCAATGTTTCGTACTTCTTTCAACGGTGATCTACATACAATCGTCGATTTCATCATATAATACATATAACATGAGAGAACTTAGGAAAAGAATAAAAATTTTCTATGTGAAAAATCAAATCTACTATTTCATTCATTTATACACCTATTAGTATTGTAAAATTTTCGTCTTTACATTTATCACTGCTGAGATCTCAAGCGATGCAGATTTATCACCAAGGTACTAAAAGGTCAACCAGTGATACATAGAGATTTTTCATAGGGAGGTTTTCAAAGATGCTCTGAGACTACCTAGAAAAAAATAATCAAAACTATCAAAGTTGACTGAAATATGTTATTTTGTAGAGTGTTTCGCGGCGCATCTTTTGATTAAAAAAAATTAGAAGAAATGATTGAGATATTAAAGCGAAAATGAGAAAATAATGACACCGCCGTTTAATTTGGATCACGCGATTTTCCTTAATCAAAACAAAATTGTATAATCGAATAGATAATGAGCGACTGAGTGACTTAGCTATTATCAATATTAATAATAACATCGGTCAGGAATTAAATATTGAAAGTCTTATTGCTAAATTTATCTAATCCAAACGTAAAATAAATTTTACAAATGAACTGAATTAATTCTCTGGCTTATCATGTAGTTTCTGCTTTTTTGTTTGATTTTCTTCTTGTAAAAGACATACTCGTATATGAATAAAGATGAACAAGAATAAATTCTGAAACATTCACCATAATAAAAAATGGTCCTGTCGAAAGTGGATAAAAATAAATTTGATCCCCGTCTCCAAAAATCCTGGTTGCGTGTCTGAAATTGTTCTTTACGAATTTCTTCAACAAAATAATCGAGTTTCGAGGTAATCAATCCTATTTGACGTATACTTGTTTGAGACAAACAGTATCCGCATGTTTTAGAAAAATTTCGACTCATTGCGAAGATTAAACTAACTATCACTGAGTATTCGCTTGTATATATTAAGAAGATGTGTTGAGTGCATGAGGAATGCAACTTCTATGCAATAATTTCTTGATTATTGTATGTTCACTAAATTCTTATTGAAAAGTGTTTAATCGACGAAACAAAAATACTGATATTAATAAAGTAAATATCAATGAGATGATGACATCATTATAATGTAAATGATAGATAACATGATAGATATAGTTCAAGAAAAAGCATTTTTCATCAAACAAGTCTTCGTATATAATGGACATAACATCCGAAAATCGCCGTCGCTGCGGATTTAGTGTTAAAGTGTTAGTCATCATACGAATTCGCGGCGAGTGAGGGTGAGGGTGAGGGTGGAGAAGTGAGAGTGAAGTGTGTGAAGAAGTGCTCCACCCTCATCCTCACGTCCTCACCCTCAATTATGCACGTTTATACTTTAACACTTTAACGTATAAGAATCCGCGGCGACGGCGATTTCCGGATGATGCCATAATGGAACAGAAAAATATAAAATAATATTATACAAAGGTAGTTCTTCAATTGATAATTAATGATTATGATCAGAAATAAACTAAAAAAGAGAGAAGGTATTAAATCTATTTGGAACTTACGTTGTCACGTTTTGTTCGTCAAGAAATTTCCGAAAAACGTTCAAACCTTTTTAAAACAAGGTATCCAATAAGATATTATTGTCTATAATAAAGGAGAAGAATGACTATGAAACCCTTTGAGTAATTATGTAATCAAAACGAAATTCGATCCTTGACGAAAATCATCAAAGTCTTCTGCTTTTATTTTTTATTTTTTTCTCGAATTTTGTTGCGCAAAATAAAGCAAAGTCATTTTTCTTATTATAAAATAAATCTTTATTTTTCAAAAGTGTTACCCGACAATATAATGCATAAAAAACAGCAATATTTCTTTCATTTTTAAGTGTTCGAATTGAATGAATAACGAAAAAATCCCAGCATTACAGACCAATTTCTCTTTCTTATAAATGTAAATAGTATTTAATCAATAAAGATTATCATGTGTACATCAATATAATATGGTATAAAGCCTAATACTCTGACTTGAAAATAAACATATTATCACCTTTGTTCGAAAGAACTTTCAATAAATGATTTTTGTTCTTTAACCCTTTCAGGCCCATGGCTGAAATGTCTTTGAGATTTCATATTCAATATGGGCAATGCGTATTGTGAATATTTTCATCAAAACTTTTTAAAAAATCTTCCAAGTCATTTTGGACCCTTGTCCGCACTCCCCCGCGGGGGTGGCGAAGAAGTAATTTGATCATCGCCGTAGGGGGTACGGATGTGGATCAAAATTCGATTGAGAACTGTCGCAAAATCAACCTTTGGAATATCACCAGGAGTCACTCTTAGCTTGTTTTCGATATGAAAACCGAAATATTTTCAGGATCGCAAAAGGGCGTTATTCGCTTCTTCTTTTTAGAATAGAGGCGATGTTCCAAAAACTCGATTTGTTGTTGATGGTTGTTCTTCGACTGGTGTTATAGATGGAATTGATAAAGACGATGTATGACGTGGACGTGTTGTCTGTTGAACAAATGTACTCATTACTTTATTTGTCTAAAAATCTTCAAAAATCAAATAAATCAAATAAAAAGAAATCTTTCATGTAAGTGTTTTTGCCCTTTGTAAAGATGTAGTTTGTCCCATTTCAAATCGAACAGAATAAACATTTCCATGTTCGGAATTAATTAAATGTGCTACAGTCGCCTGGGTCACAGCTTCGAGTTAAGTATTCTCGCGGCAGACTACGCCCAAACCGCTCATTCAGGTCGCGTCTATAGCGATAGTGTTGGTGGTATTATGCTATAGTTTTTTTTCTTCTTCTTTTTATTCATCAAAAAAACCGAACCAAATGAATACAATTCAACAAAACGACCGAAGTTTTTTAAGAGAGAGTCCACCAAAAGGCCGACCATAGCCGGCACCTGATGGTCCCCGATTGAGCTCATATATATCTCATTTGAAAGCCCTAACAAAATGGAGACTAACCATTTATTTAGATTTTTTTAAAACGTTTTTATCAAAAGTTAGTACGGCATTTACTTTTGCTACTCTTAACTTTTCTAAAAAGAATTCAACTTTCTAGTATTGCTCCGTATTTTTCAAATTTCTCAAAAACCACCCAGCCAAGTTAGTGGTTGAATTTTTTGGTTCAGGTACTGTTTGAAAGAGACGAGTTAGGACAATACATCGAACGAAAAAAGCGATAACTAAGAAATTCCCGCCTCTCTTTGACTAAATGATATTTCGAAAAATTTGATGGAGCAGAAGTCCTATTATCTGTAGAATAATTATACGTAATATATTTTTTCGTTCTCTCATAATTTCTTTTTTTCTTCTTCACAGAAGCTTTTTTCTTTCTTTATCACTGTTCTGTTGCACGTATTCACTTCAAAAAGCCCGATGCGATTTTGCAAAATTATCTTTCATCCTTGCACTTCAGTGAGTCAAGGAACCAAAAGATAAGTCGTGGAACTCACTGAAGTGCAAGGATGAAAGATAATTTTGCAAAATCGCATCGGGCTTT